CATCATCACTGAGTCATGTGGACAAATTCCATGAAGAGGCCTGAACCATAAAAATGTTTTTAGTAATAAATCTCTCATAGTCTTTTAAATTGTTTGAATAAGTAACAAACAGTTATTCATTTTACACCCACTCAATTGCATACCTGCCGAAATATAGTTTTAAGAGGCATTTGAGAGCATATGTGATTTGTGCCCTTAAGCTATTTTGCATACATTTTAGAGTTTCCTCTAAATAATTAAAATGAAACTGAAACATGGAGGATTGTGAAGATCCAGCCAGGTCTAAGACAATATATAGAGCTATACTCTAAACTTAATAAGGAGGTAAACAGTTTTATGTTTTTTTTCCAGTTTGAAGTCAATATTAAGCATTTATGCATCTTCAATTCATGTCTTGAAGATATTAAGATCCAAACATTAAAGTAATTTATTGCAGTCTCATACAAATTGGTGGAAAACTTTTGAAAGTGACACAGTGGAAAAAATAACAGTTTTAACTGTGCCACACTTATACTTGCTCAAAAAAAAACATGACGCTTGAATCTACCTTTTAGTGTGAGTTAATTCATTGAGCCATTAATGAGCAGATTTCTACACTGAACTTACAAAAGTTATATAATTTGATGTGACATATGGAGGTAAAAGTAGAAAGAATTATCCATACATCCACCCCCTCACCCCCACTTGAAATCAAGTGTGTGAAGCGAAATGTTGCTGTGGTCAGCTGTACTGGGCAGCCTGTTTTCAAACATCAAACCCCACACTCAGAGGATATGAGAGCCCTGCGGACATGACTGTATATGAAGGAATTATTTCACCATGAAACAAAAGATTGTTTGGGTGTAGCAGGCCTGTGAGGAGTGAAAAGACTCTTCCTCCCCCAACCTTACATTGTTTGCTCTGCAGAATGTTGTTTTGATCATGGGGAAAAGGCAGCTGCTCTGCACAAGTCAAACTATGTCACTGATATTTCCATCCTGTCTGGGAAACATGTCAAATTAAGATAATATATATTATTTAAGATAATATTAACAGTACAATTTTTTTTTGTTCAAGCCAACAGCCTAAGCGTAAGTAATTTTAACAAATGATTTATGCATATTCTTTAAGCTTTTATTTTTCCAATTCTTGTCCCTGTAACCTGCAGGTGTTGCAAAAGTGTTTGTTCTTTCACAGATACAAAATACTTTTAATGTTTCATTAGGATGTTATGGAGTTAAACACTTGTGGCAGTTACTTTGTGGTATGTCTCAACCAGTTCTGCCCATTCTTTTTTTTTAATAGTTCTGACATTGTCTCTGATTCAGGGATGGTTTACCTCAATAAGTACAACAGTTGTAGGCCAGGTCCTGAATACAGTGGTGTGGTCCTTTGTTGACTCAAGCTACAATTCTCCAAATTCTGTAGCCTTTTGTTTCAGAAACATTTTTTCCTTCCACCAAACTTTCCCTAGATATGTTTGGATACAGCGCTATGGCTTCTTAAAGCCAACAAAAGGTTTCCTCTCCCAGTTGTCAGCTGGACAACTGCAGTTCCCCCCCCCCATGATATTACAAGCAACAACATCACATCACTCTCTTTTTTTTTTTTTTGTCCTTCTCCAGCAATATTTAAATTAAATTTCAAGGTAATTTTAGGGCTATCGTTGGCTGTAACGCTTGACACATATTTCTTTGTGTGCAATGAATTCCTGACCTAAATTGACTTTGAGATGATATTCTAACTGATTGAGACGCATCTGTGTAGCTCACATAAATCGCTCTGGAGTTTTTTTTTTTTTTTTTTTTTTTTTCCAACAAAAGCAGGAACCCTTTATGAAGAGGATAAACTGTTTCT